ATAGATCATGCAGCTCACTGCTCGAAAATGGTTGCCTATGCTTGATATACAGTATTTATGTTTTCATTACGTTCATAATATCCGTTTCGGAGACGCCTCGACGTGGTGTATTGGTTAGGAGTCTTGTCTTGTTAGATTAATTACGAGTGAATAGTGAGTTCGATTCTTACTGGATGTTTCCTGCTTGTGTCATATTAAAGCTACATTTAGAAAATACTCTTTTAATTATTGTTCTAAGCAGTGCGTATATTTTTAATCTCGGGTAAACATGGGATGCTCGTGATTTTGTTGACGTTTTTCTCTGCAACTTTTTTATGGTACTCATAGTTCGAATAAAGGTAGAGATTGGCAACATTTTGAAGAAAGCGGGATAGAAAGTTACGTATTGTCTCGGAAGAAGGTCATGATATCAAATGTATTATAATTTTCTCGACTTCAGGCCGCTCCGTCCAGAAGATTGCCTTGGCCTGGATGTTTAAAAAAAAAAAAAAACAACAAAGTTAATGTTATATTATTTAAACAAGGTTCTTTATTTTACTGCAGAAATATCAGGATAACTAACACAATCAACAAAAAATGCAAATTCCTTACTACAAACGAAATATAGTTAGAAATGGTAAATTATTTAATGAGACACTTGTTTATGCTTATTGTTCAATAACATCTCCATATCAGGTGGAAATATTTGTTGATGTCAGAAGTAAAACATTATCCACCAAACCTTGTTCTTGAACGATTTTAGCATATTTCATTTTCGAAAAAGAAATTCTCCATGCCTATGTACTTCTAAATAATGATACCAACATTTTAGGACTATTAATTAGTCGTTTATATTTTCCGCTTGGCAAAACATATTTCTTGTAGAAGTCGACAGTGAATTCGGAATTAAATTTTGATTTAAGAAATTGTAAGTTAATTAACTCCAAATGATATTTTTCTGCCACTTGCTCCACAAATTAATTAGATAATGAGTGTCCAGGTATTAAGCTGGCGGGCCGGACAAAAATCCTTCGCGGGACAGATGTGGCCTGGGGGGCAGAGGGTTGTCGACTCCTGCTTTCACATTTCCAGTTTTAAATCCCTTATATTTATTTATCACATATTTTTATCCCATGGCACTGGCATATCTATAAGAAAACACTTTGTTTTTGTTTTGTTGTGTTTAATTACAATATCTAGTTCATTAGGTTTCTTATGGTGAATCTGTAAGCGTAGCTTAGGTGAGGCATAAAGTTGAAAGTATGGGCACCCAATGAGGATCGCACTCACTATTCAGTCGTCATTGAACTAGTGAGAAAAGCTTGCTAACCATTGCACCACGTCGAGGTACCCCAAACGTTATTCCAAACATTATTTATATACTGATTGTCTGAGCGTAGCTTATATGTGGCACAACGTCGAAAGTATGGTGCACCCAGTGAGGATCGAACTCACTAATCAGTCGTAAATGTTCTTACGAGACAATCTTGCTAAGCATTATTCAACGTCGAGGTGCCTCTATAGCTTTTCTGTCGACATGAATGGAAAATTCCCAAAGAATAGTGACCCCATGGCATTCGAGGAATAGCTCAGGGAACATTGATATTCATATCATTTTTTAGCATATGGCGCACAGAGATGTCTCCCAATGGATATACCGACATGTCTCCCAATGGATATACCGACGTGTCTCCCAATGGATATACTGTCCAATCTTATCATGTCGATTTTTCTATTCTTTCGGTGTCAGACTCTAAGTGGTCAATAGTCTCAACATATAGTTCACATAATCTGGATATATGGTTAGCATCATTCTTTATTATGATTACATGGTAATTCCTGGTAAATAGATTTGAATCCTGTGAATGGGTTTTAAACGCTTTTTTCCCTGCTTTTAGCAATGTATTATTATTATTATTATTAGTAGTAGTAGTGGTAGTAGTATTGTTGTTGTTGTTGTCTGTTTGTGTAATGGCAAAAGTACGCAGGTGTAGGCTTTAAGAAAGGTTTATTGAACCGAGAATGCAAAGCCCGAAGGTAGTGTTCTTTTATAGTCCCAGTAAACAGAAATAGCTCTCTCAAAGAGGAGAGTAACAAAACAAGAGAAAACCACTCTTGATTATTCATAACTGTTTATTTGTTTTGACCTTGCTTTGTGTAGCACAAGTTGCCACCCACCGTCTTGATCAAAGTCTTGAAGGGGCAACAATTTTGTTTTTGATCGCAAGATGCAATCAGAGGGAAAAAGAGAAATATATAATTGTGGTTACTGCATGAAGAGAAATCTACACAAGATGTGGGAAGTTCCATGGGAATTATATTTTTTGTAATTCATTTTATTTTAGCTCTGCAAAGAATTTGTTCCACATTATTGTTGTTGTTGTTTTGAGATGCCGCATCATCATCACCATCATCATCATCATCATTAATTTCCTGAGACGAACACTCTAAGAAAGGTGGTTTTCTAAGCGTAGCTTAGATGTAGCACAAGGCCGAAAGTATAGGGCACTCAGTGAGGATCGAACTCACTATCTAGTCGTAACTGATATAGCGAGACAAGCTTATTAGACATGACACCACATCGAAGTACCCTGCTCGTCTCAGAATCGAGGGTTATTCAACTTCAGTTTGTATCTTGAGCTTTCAGTTAAATACGTGAATGTCTGATAACGCAACTCATATGACCAAAATAAGTAATGAAACCGCTGACATTTTGATGCTGAGTCCAATGCTCTAACTCTGGAAATTGCTAATCGCAGTCTTACTTTAAATTATGTCTTACAAATTCTTAAAAAAAGAAGGTAAAAAAATGGAAGTTTTCGCATTATACCAGACAAGAGATGAACCTTAGTAGTACTGAACCACAGGCCCACTTGAATGGAATGAACAGAAGGTCGAGTTTAATGTGGTTTTGTATCCAATGCGTATGTGGACTAGGGACAAAAATTATTTAAGATTTTTCCGTATATCCTTTTTTAGAAACGTCTCAGCTACCACGTAATGGACCTGACTCCGCCCCTGGAGGAAAGATGAGTGCTAACAGATTACACGCTGTTCTAATCTATCCCTAAGTTTTCCGCTGATGCTGAGCGGGATTTTCTCAGTGGTCAAAATGAAAAGGTCGTAACTGAGTTTCCCAATTATAAAAGTTAAATAAAGATTATGTCGTTGGATACTCAAAGCTGAAAATGTTCTTCCTTTCTGTTAAGGCAGAGGTTTATCGTAGCTGATTCTTTTATTTGGTTTTATTGACTGTACCCATGAAGAAAGATTCTTTTTTAGCATAGAAAATATAAGTTTCTTATTCACGACTGAAGGCGTCTATCGAAGAGGCATGTTTAACAAACAATTTTCAGTGGAAACAAAACTTGAAAATGCATACATGACTTCTCTATCGATTGCTTTTTAAATTCATGATGTCCAAGTATTGCCATGAACTAAGTTAAAACAATATAATCATACTTATTATAAAACTCAGGTTGTGTGTGTGTGTGTGTGTCTGTTCGTTTATATATTGGATCGGATTTCCTACATTTTTCAACCGATTTCAACAAAACTTCACAGGACTATGTAAAATTACCTTGCGGTGGTTCTGACAGTGCCAAAAATAGGAAGAACACAATTGTTTTTGCACGAAATCAATTTGAAAACACGATTAAGAGGCATCGCTGTCGTGAGAATGAAAGGGGGACAACTCATATCGAGTTATACTTATTAATATCGAGTTATCGAGTTATACTTATTATAAAACCCAGGTTGGTTTTTTGTGTGTGTTTGTGTGTGTTCGTTTATATATGGGATCGGATTTCCTACATTTTTCAACCGATTTCAACAAAATTTCACTTTTTTTGGCAGGTAGTGTTTCTTATTGTCTTGCACACTTTTTTTTTATTTTTACATTCAGAATGCTTTAAAAATTCCATTTACAAGACAATTGTTTATAATAAAATTCTATTCAATTGGTAGACTCATAACGATTGAAAACAATGTTTTTGTTTGAGTTTGGGTTTGACCAATTCGTAAAAAAAACAAAAACAAAAAGAAAACTAATGAAGACATGCGTGTCCGTCAACCTTAAACAATAATCTTTGTCAATTTTATTTTTCAGTCTTTATGATGGTCGATACTTGATCTATCTCTTACTGTTACATCCCCGGGCAACGCTGGGCTCTACTGCTAGTAATAAATAAAGTAAAATTAAATTGACTTTAAAAATTAAAAAAATGATAAATTTTGACTAGTATTTCCCTCAACTTTATTTCAGTTATTTTTTTCTTACAACTACCAAGATCGTCCTTCTACGACCGTTATTAAACAGTTTGAAATCTGTAGAGTAATTGAGATATTAGAAGATGATTCTTTGAGAAGAACATCGAATTCGCTCAGTATCTAGATGGGGGCAGTTTGGGAACGACGAGTACTGTAAACAAACTCCGGCAACCCGAAATATATTTCCGCTTTAAATAACCGACAAAGGGTGGATAAAACGCAAACAAAAACAAACAAAAAATCAATCAATCGATCAATCCTGAGAAGAAGGGAAGGTTTGTTTGAGCTTCTACAAAAGATTATTACTTCTGATCCGATGTCTACAACACATGACAATTAGTGGTTTCGCAAGAGTGTGTTGTTATCGGCTCTACATGAAACCATAGTTCATTGTTAAGTGGACATAGAGAGATCTCTTTCCTTCTCTTCTTTCTCCTCCTCCTTTTTTTTCTTCTTCTATGTGCCGTGTTCATTCAGGACGTTGGCGATCATGGCTTTCCACAACTTCTTGAGCGTTGTAACTATCTCTCGTAATCATTGGTCTGTCAACAATTCGCACAAGATCGTTAGCAGCGAATAACCGAATTATTCGCTCCTTTTCTCTGTTCCTCTTACTTTCAATATACCCTGTGAGTGTCAGCACAAATGATGACTGATATTCTTTAAAAAAGCAATAGAAAAAAAGGCAAAAAAAGAAGAAAAAAATCAAAGAAAATCAATTCATTCGAGAAAATAAAATTTGACGTTTGAAATCAAATTGATAAAATCAATTCATTCGCGTTCAGAAAATACATCGTTATTAACATGATTGACGTTTGAGTGGCAAATAGATAGATTGATATGAGCAGATAGATAGAAAGGAAGATATGAGCAGATAGATAAATAGATATGAGCAGATAGATAGGTAGGAAGATATGAGCAGATAGATAGATAGATAGATAGATAGATAGATAGATAGATAGATAGATAGATATGAGCAGATAGATATGAGCAGATAGATAGATAGATAGATAGAAGATAGATAGAGCAGATAGATAAATAGATATGAGCAATAGATAGATAGATAGATAGATAGAAGATAGATAGATAGATAGATAGATAGATAGATAGATAGATAGATAGATATGAACAGATAGATAAATAGATATGAGCAGATAGATAGATAGGAAGATATGAGCAGATAGATTGATAGGTAGGTAAGTAGATAGATAGATAGATAGATGATATGAGTTAATATAAATAGATATGAGCAGATAGATAGGAAGATATGAGCAGATAGCTAAATAGATATGAGCAGATAGATAGATAGATAGATATGAACAGATAGATAAATAGATATGAGCAGATAGATATGAGCAGATAGATAAATAGATATGAGCAGATAGATAGATAGGAAGATATGAACAGATAGATAGATAGATAGATAGATAGATAGATAGATAGATAGATAGATAGATATGAGCAAATAGATATGAGCAGATATATATGAGCAGATTGATAGATAGGAAGATATGAGCAGATAGATAAATAGATATGAGCAAATAGATAGATAGATAGATAGATGTGATCAGATAATATAAATCGATATGAGCAGATAGCTAAATAGATATGAGCAGATAGATAAATAGATATGAGCAGATAGATATGAGCAGATATATATGAGCAGATAGATAGATAGGAAGATATGAACAGATAGATAAATAGATATGAGCAAATAGATAGATAGATAGATAGATAGATAGATAGATGTGATCAGATAATATAAATAGATATGAGCAGATAGATAAATTGATATGAGCACATAGATTTCATTTGATAACAGTTTTTGAATAAGCTAAGTATTTTTTATTTAATCAATTTATAATATTTTTAGAGAAATTTCATTAGTTAACTCGATCGTCGTGGACACGCATTAAAAATCAGACTGACAAATGTCTACATGATTAATCTCTTCGCTAGCTTTCCTGCTTAACCTATGACATAAGAATTAAGAAATGAACCATTTCCAGAAAAGTAAGACATTGTCAGGGAAAGTTGTTTGGAGAGCTAATCTTGCAGGCCATTGTTAATGAGCTATTTCCATATAGGGCATTCCAGTCGATGACCTCATGCAAACGTCAGCCTCGTCTGTGTTTTGCAGATTAGGAAAATTTGAACACAAACGCGAGGTTCGTAAATATACATACCCATGTAACAGCAAAATTGTTAAACTTGCGTAACAGCAAAAGCTTTGAACCGTTGTATCTTAGAAATGATTAAAGATATCTTACTGGAATTCTCCGAGGTTTTTATAACACTATTGGAATCTACTTTGAACAATAAGAATGCATTTATCTCTATGTAGAAATGATGATCCCTCTTGCTGTTGTAACCTCTTGATCGAGTTTTCTTCTCTTTTTTTTAAACTTATTCACCGTTCTCTTGATGGTTGTTGAATGAAATTTGAAGATGATAGCAAGAATATAAATGTTGGTACCATTACTGAAGGCCTGAATGTCTTTTTCGTCTCATCATTGCTAAGTTGGGAAGACATAGTGGGGCTGACACAAAATGATTTTAACCTGTTCTCTTTCTAGCTGAAAGGGTTTTAAAGTGATTCTCACGACAAATGGCTAAACGTCTTATCTGAAAACCTGGAAAAAAAGAAACTTAATTAGATTAGTATTTTTTTTTTTTTTTAGATATTAAACATTTTGTTGGGTGGACAATTATCCCACGCTGTTACACGATTTGGATAATTTTGCTGTTACACCCGGTATATTCTCTGCTTTTTTGGAATTGTGTTATGCTTTTTTTTCGATTTTTTGTCCTTTTCTTTCGTAAATAGCAGACTAAATGTCCGAGTACAAATAAACTCGTAACATTCTATCATCACCGAGCAGGCGCTGAATTTTCGCCTATCGCGATGAAAAGTTGTTCTCTCAACTAGGCTCCTTGCCTTGAACGACTACTGAGACACATTCTAGACCGCAAGTAGAACGATCTATCGCTAAAGATGCTGGAAACATGATCGGTTCCTAGTACCATTTCAGAAAGCAACAGACTCCTCCTGCTATGCTCTGTCTTCACAAGAGCCTGATCAAAATAAAAATGGATTTCTGCTATCATATCCGGGCTTCTGCTACCCAGTCATCACTTTCCAGGCTTGATATTCAAAAACACCTTCATGGCCTTATGAGTGATGAATTTTCTTTCCACCTTACAACCGTCCTGGGTATGACAATAATCTACATCCGCGCCCTAGGTAAGACGATAAGCTACGTCCAACGGCAATATCAGGAGGTTTTGATTGCTTTTAATTGCTGGTGTTCTCAAGTCCACCCTGACCCGTTAGGGTCCCAGCTATGGGCAAACATCCAAACTTGTGTAAAAAATAGGTTTTAATACTAGAAATACTTTGTAAAAAAATTATTACCAGTAATAATTTTTGAATGAAAAATTATTACCAGCAATATTGAAAATATACCAGCAATACAAACAGCTATACATTTTTTGAAAAAATATTACCAGCTATAGATTTTTTGAAGGAAATATATTCTCAGAAATAGATTTTGGAAGAAAAAATATTCCCAGAAATAGATTTTTGAAGAATAACATTACCAGCAATAAAAATTTTGTCGGCATTAAATAACCCATTGAGGATGATATGCCGTAAACCAAACCAAACCAAACCAAACCAAACCACCTTGCAACCATTTTCCCACAGATGAAACATCTTCTCGCTATTCTATCGCTATTTCCATGTCAAATGTTCTGATGAATTACATTCCATAGTTCCACCAGTTCTGACATTCACAGCTAAAATCCACCATCGCAGGCATCGTATACTGGGACGAATTACCCCACATTCGAATTGAATTTATCAACAAAAACAGTACCGTATTATTGGCATCGACGCCCGCTGTGGGAGGAGGGAGAAAAGATAATTTTCCTTGGAATAACAGGTCACACCTCTCCGTTAATATTGTTTGTCCAGGAAGTCAGACAAGCTTATAAAGGGTGTTTCATTAAGACGGATTATATATAAGGGTGTTTCATTAAGACGGATCAAAGTCCGCACTAAATAAATCAGTATTATTTGTAAAAATTTATTTAGTTATCTATTGGATCATATTATTTAAGTCATGGCAATTATGTACAAAAAATAATATCGCCCAAATGTCCGCTAAATCTGAAAGAAAAAGAAAAAAAAAATCATTAGATGCTTAAACATAATTCACATTAAAATCGGTCCAAGTTATCGGAACACCCTTTATTTAAAATGGTCACGAGTGCAGCATCCTCTCTACTGGGAGGATATTTGACACGTAAAACAGGGTTACCAGTAAGACATATTCTGAATATAACATTTTGCTTTCTCCACCACTGCCCGAAAAAGTGACAGCAAGCACTCATGACTTCCGGAATTATCTTCTATGTGCTGTATCCTTTCAGGACGTTAGCAATCATAGCTCTCAACAATTACCTGTTTTTTGTAGCTCTTAATAAATTTTGATCTTTTGTTATCAAAATACCCGTTCTGTATACAGTTAGACAAACTAGTTAGCTAGGTTATGTGTTGTTTATTCTATTCCTCTCGCCTTCAATGTCTCCTATCAAATCAAATTTTCCAAACCCTCTTTCCTCATCATGTGGCCGAGAAAATTCAACTGTTTCTTTTTGATGTTAAATATAAGTGTCCTTTTGATTTCCATTTTCGGCTAAAACTTCGTCGTTGCTCACATGTTCGGGCCATGGTATTCTCAGCGTCCTTCTATAGAATCACATTTCTGTTGCTTCAAGTCTCTTCTTCATCTGTGAAGAGATTGTACAACATTCACTGCCATAGTGGAGGACTGATATGACGTAACAGTTCAGTACTTTTGTTTATTTTTTTACAGTAAGGTTCACCCTGTACAAGGCCCGGCGGCCACACGAGGCAAAGGATTATGTTAGGAGGCGGTTCGTACAGATAGAAGGGCAAGATAACTGTTAACTCTAGACTTGAACAAGTTCAGATTGTAGTGATCGGGGAAGCATCTTATTGGGAGTCGGTTCCACTAAGCAGTGGTTCGCGGGAAGAAGCTGTTCGATTGGAATTTACTTTTTGCCGATGGAATACGGAGAGAATGTGGGTGGTTTTCTAAGTGACATGGTGGTTCCTTGTCGTGAAAGTTAGAACTGGCGGAACCAAGGAATTTATTTCGTTCAAGAATTTTCCATGAACATTCCGCATGTGTTTAGAGAGATTGGAGGGTGGAAAATAATTCGTCATTCACAAGGACTCGGAGACGTTTTTGGACTCTATAGAAACTGAAGAATGTGGCCTGGGCAGCTGCCGCCCGAATAAGACCACAGTACTACATTTCTGACCTGATCTGGTTCTTGTAAAGATAGAGGATAGCACGTGAAGTCAGGTATTACTGGAACAGTACGGAGAGCTAATCATTTTATCTGCATCTTTAGAGATGATCCATGTATATGCGTTCTACCTGGGGTCAGGTGTGAGTTCCAGGCCCAATAGTCTCTCAAGGCACGGTACCTCTTCGAGGGGACATTCGTTCATCGTGACTGGCGGTAGTTCGGGGTTTTATCAAGGATGATGGAATATAACTAGTTTGGTTCTTAAGGTTTTGAAAAATATTCCTGGTTTTTATCATTTAATTAAAATTTCAGGTTAATTTAAACGATTTATGTTGTTATGTTTATGTTGTGCCAGATTTACACTGATAGCCCAGCTCTTTTTTTTCAAAATCTACATTCGATATATCGGATAACGATTACTAACAATAGTAAGAAATAGTTATCTCACCTATCAAGAAAGCACAACCCTGTGTTTTTGCACTCAAAGCGTTTTTCACATGGCTAGGATCAGGCCCAAAAGATCGAAATGCTTTCGCCGTCCGTGTAAACGGACGCCATTCCTTTCTCCATATATATAAACTATAATTCTGGTAGGTCAAATTTCACTGAAATATGCCGAGAAATTTTCATGATTTCACCTGGGATCAAGGAAATACGAACTTTAAGTAAATATATCACAATATATGAACACGTTTAGTCTCTATATGTCATAAATACTACAAGGAAAACAACACGGGAAAACTATTTGAAAATACTGAAAAACGTCAACATAATGTTCTGCGTACTAAGACATATAACATCTTATATAACTCCTTGTGGGTGACGAATTATTTTCCACCCTTCAACCTCTCTTTCATAAGCTGGACGTGGAAGAAGCCTCTCGCTGCTACTTCCGTGGAAAGTTCTCGGACGAACTAAATTCCTCGGTCCGGCCATTTCAAACCTTCACAGCCATGACTTGCCATGCCATTTACATAGTAGCAAACCGCCTACATTTCCATCGTATTACATTGGTGAGAAGTAAGTTCCACTCAAACAGCTTTTTTCCTGTGAACCACTGCTATTTGGAACCGACTCCCAAGAGGATGTTTCCCCGATCAATACAATCTTAACCTGTTCAAGTCTAGAGTTAACTGTTATCTTCCACTTTTATTCGCACAAATTGCCTCTTAACACCTACAACAGATCATCTACAAACTATATTTTGTGATGTCAACGAACACTCGTTGCCACTTTTGTGATGCCAACGAATACTCGTTGTCACTTTCGTAATGCTCGTTGTAGTAGAAACTTTGTAAGCTATACTACGCTGTTGAATAATACTAGTGTCAGACGCCTTTGAATAACACTCGCATTAATAGTATTTGCTCGATAATACTCACTCGAACAGTAATCCGTATAGTGATCCGAATAGAGAAATAGCATAATGAATAGTGTAGAGAAATAGCATAGATTAGAAATGGTGATCCGGATAGTAATAGAGGATAGACTAGAAATAGCGATCAGAATAGTGATAGACTAGAAATGGTGATCAATTAGACGTCACGCGACTTCCTACTTATGCGTTTCCTCTGTGGTCAAGTGGTCTACTTAATTCAATAATGGGATCGCCTGTGTTTGCTCACTGGCGATCTATGTTCAAACTCAAGTGTCGGCAGCGATACTTTATTCCTATATAA